ACACACACACACACACACACATGAATGCAAATGTAAGTGACACACACGTGACCTTGCACGCTGACACATTCATCCCCATATTTGAACACCCACACTGCACTCAAGTATCCTCCTCACTCCCTGTTGCACCTCCTTTCCTTGCCCCCACCTTCTGCTCTCAGTTTGTCTTATCTCCATATATTCTATTTTCATTCATCTCCTCTCCTCTCCTCCTCTCCTCTCCTCTCCTCTCCTCCTGCTCCCTCCTCCTATCACCACTAGATGGTAGTGCCGGCCCTTGAATTGTATTCACGACATGAAGGCTTCAGTGTGGAAAGCCCCATTTATCCATCAGGTCCTCTCATCACCAGGAGGTTCAGGGTTCAGATACAGTCCAGCCTCTCTGTGAGTCCGGTCAGGGTTCAGTGTCTTGCTCCAGGGCACGTCAGCAGGATGAACTGCCTTGTAAACTGCACATAATATATCTCAAAGTAACATTTTATTTTCTCAAGACTTGGATTAAAATGCAGCATTAAATTTGACTGAGGTAAATCACTGGTACAAAGAGAAAATTAAAAACAGCTACAACTAGAAAAACTGTAAAAACTGTCAATAGACTAAATTATTCCAAAATATAAATAAACACCGTTGTTGATGCAGAGGTTGTTAGAGTCATCTGGCCTGTTTTAAAGATATAATATGCATTAAACAATTCTTCATTAAAACAAATTTTTATATACGTTGTTGACTTGTTTCCATTAAAAGAACCCGAGTGGCCGAGTTTACTACGTTGTTTAATGAGCACGTTTAAGGTCAGATTAGTTGTTTGGGATCAACTGAGTGTGTCTCCGTCTGGGAGGCTGTTTCACACACTTCGCTGATCTCGTGGTTCATTGTAATGATTTGCAGACACACAATATGCTAAAGCATTTATTTACAGAAATATATTCATCCACAAAGAAACACATGCGCGCACACTGGAGGGTTATTTTTCTCTTGGTTTACCGAGTACAGTGACGGTCACAGCTCTGCGGCCAGACCAACTGAATGTCCGAATATGTCTTTGTGTGTGTGTGTGTGCGTGCGTGTGTGTGTGTTTGTTCAGCAGACAGTGTGTGACCGCACTCTGCTCTCCAATGTTCAACGTGTATCTGGATTTGGAAAGCCTTGAGTGTGTGTATGGGAATGTTTTTGCAAGTTGTGTCTGCTCGTACACGTGAATGTGTGTGTGTGTGTGTGTGTGGTTCTATAATAGCAGCCATTTAGCAGTGCTGTAGGCGCTGTAATAGCAGCTCTGTACTAATACTGCTCTAATAGCTGGGCTGCCTTCGGTTTGGGTCACATTCAGGCCACACACACACACACACACACACACACACACACACACATGGACTGGTCTTTTCTTTGGTCAGATGTAGATATACTTACACTCATGTACAAAACAGATTGGCACACACTCGTTCACATGTACCTCCAGCCTCACACACACACACACACTCCCTCACCCACACACTAACCCAGGCGAGGCCCTTCCCACTGCGGCGTGCGGCCAGCCTCTGTGCTTTGTTGGCCGCTCATGTGTGCTTGTTCAACATGTCTTATTAATGACGCTAATACAGGCCTGTTTCCTCCGCTGTGTCTGAGCGTCGGTGCTCTCATACTGGGCTCTTTGACACATTATACCTGGGCGTGGGTGTGTGGAATTACACGTGCACAGTTGCTATTATGGCACAGCCTGGCTTTAATTTTCGGTGTGCAGCACTTCTCTTGTTACTGATGATACAGCGCCTTGTCAGGCCGTCTGAGTGCGTGTTGTTTTGACCCGCGTTCAGGTCTTTTAAGGTGGGAAACGACCACCAGACACCTGACAAATCCACAAAATTGTTTATCTGGGAGGAGGGTCCACTCCTGAGGTATCCTGCTGTTTTTGCAGTCCTTCCCTTTCTGAAGGAGAGCAACTGGTGAAGCTTGAATTTGGCTTTAATGCCCCTGTGCTCAGTTTTGATTTGCTGTTCATGGTTCACGGCCATATCATGATCATCTCCTCTAGAGATTTCTGTAGATGATTTGTTGTAGTTACAGGGAAAATGGTGACGAGACTGATAATTACAATAATTCAGTTGGTTGCAAAATGTATTCTTTATACATGTTGAATTGTAAACATACAAATAAACAGTCTTTGTAATGACTGAAGGGAAACACTTTTCCACACTTAAGCACGTAATTAGAGTTATTAGAGCAACAACTTATTTTAATCCGTATTCTATCTATAAAATTACTCGACTCTTTCCAGCAAAGTTATTACGAAACCCAAGAATCAACTTATGCCATGAAAACCCCACAACGCTCACCTTCTCCATGACAACACAGGATAATTCTACCCGAACTTCTGTATGTGTATGTTTTTGCAATGGCTTCATAGCCAACGGTAACATTGATACCTCTTTACTGAGCAGTCGAGCAGAAACATTGTGATTTCAACATAAAACCGTATTTTACTCACCAAGTGCTCGACTAGCTGGCCTCAGCCCAGCTGGCCTGTAATGTCACTTTCCGATCACGAGTCACATTAGCGTCCGCGCTGAAGGAGGCACGTGGTCATCACCTCCACCTTCTCCTTTGGGTGGCAGGAGAAACTCACATACGGCACCTTTAACCAAACACTCACTGAGGACCAATTACTGTTTATGGCCACGTAAATCAGCTGAAAGTAATTTACTGAAGGCTGTAACAAACACAAGTGGCAGCAGAAACTCACAACTGACGACAATTCGTTCGAGTTAAAGAAACGCATCATCGCTTACCTGGTGCAGTTGAACAGAAACACACACTGAGCATGAGAGTAAATCCATCCCTGTGAGGACACACACACATTCAGATGATGCAACAGCTGCTGTTGGCTCATTATCAAACATTGTGTTACACACACACACCTGCACTCACGTCTGTGGTGTGAGGGACGTTGTCCTTGAGTGTGTTAATGGCCACCCTGAACTCTGCTCATCACTCAAACACACACACTTGTTTACACAGGATAGGTGTGGAGGAGAGTGCGGCTTTTTCTTTCTAAATCCTCGGTGATAGATGTTGAGTGTGTGTGTGTGTGTTGCGCTGTAGGTGGCTGTCTCCCTGACCTCTAGTTGATGGCAGTGTGACTTTTAATAGCACATTGAGACCTAATTATAGTTCTCTGGTCGCACAGCCCCACTGCTTTATGGCCTTGTGTGTGTTTCCGTGCGTTAGGGCTTAGTATGCCCTAAATCAGGCCTTTCCTAACAAACACACACATGGCTGCACACTTATACCCAGAGCCAGGTGTGTGTGTGTGTCTCTGTGTCTCTGTGTGTGTGTGTGTGTGTGTGTGTGTGTGTGTGTGTGTATGTGTGCATGGAGGTGTTAATGGAGATATCAGATTCAGCCAGAGGGAGAAACACACCTCGGAGCACAACACGACTTCATGACTGAAATGAAACAGAAGCCATGAATGTCATTCAGGATCGCTGGTACCTGTATTTTAAAAACCGACACAAAAAAAAACAGTTTAAAAGTGCAGAGTCACGGTTCTCATAAAGAAAAAAGTGTGTAACACAAACATCTCACTGCTTTCTTGGCCTGCAGTTGTTCTGCTCATACACATCTGAACCGTGTGTCCAAATTAAATTTCTTTTGCTGCCTGAAAAAACAAACTTTATGGACTTCAGCTGGATTTATTTAATTTTTCTTGTATACACTCTCTCAGAAAGAAAGCTGAGGAATGTAGGTAAAGCAAAGTTTAAATAAAACCTCAGTGCTGTGTGCTTTAAGGTTATTTGCTCTGCCATCCGACCTGTTTGTACAGTACCTGACTGGAATCATGGGGCTGAGAGCCTGTTGTCATAGAGAGGATGAGACATGAAGCATCGTACAAATGACGATAACGGAGCAGCAGCAAGTGAATTCTGGTCGGACAACCTCCGATTATTGTAAGATTATCTGAAGGTTAAAGATCTCCTTTGTCCTCCTGTCAGGTCACCACTCCCTGTGTATCCAGTCGATGGACGGGATGCTGATGTTCTTCGAGCAGGACAGTTACTCCTTCGGCAGATTCCTCCCTGGGTTCCTGCTGCCTGGTCCGCTGATCTACAACAGCAGAACTGACAGCTTCCTGACCGTGTCCTCCGCACGCCAGCTGGAAAGCTACAAGTAAGTTTGAATGCACCCGTTAGTACGTATGTCCCATTCTTGTGAACACGATACCTCAAGAACACTTTTCTTCACATTTGGTACAAACCTTCATTTGGACTCAAGGATAACCTGATTAGAATGTGGAGTTGAAATGTCATGTCGCCTTGTGAGTGCTTTATGTAAAGAACGCCTCGAGAGAATCCTTTCAAGTTTCACTTAGACTCGTGGATGAAGTGATTAGATCTGGGTTTGTCAAAGGTCAAAGGTCACGGTGGCCTCGCAAAACATATTGTCGGCCTCTTGAACCTCAAGTCTGTCTTGAGGGAGTGTCTTCACTTTTTGACCAGTCACGAGGATCACAGCGACCTCGATGAGTCTGGGGAAAAAAAATCAATGGAAACTGCTTGACTGGTTGATCGAGGCGTCAGTTTCATAATTCTAGTTGTAGCTCCGGTCGACCAAATATGTGCACATCACTTTGCAAATGCTAATCTATTGGTTGCAGCAGCTTTGAAGCTATTTGAGGTTATCTCATGTTGTTCACTGTCTTTATTATCAGCTGGTCGTGGTTACTGAGCAGCGCTGACTAAAGCTTCGACATCTTAAAGGCATCTGCTCTCGCTCTGTCCCTCGTCTGAATGGACCAGAACAGACACACACATGCAAACTGCTTTTGATCGGAAAGTACCTCACTTTAATTTAAGCTCACGCACACTTCCCCAGTTCCCCCCCGGCTGAGGCATGGCAAGCTTTTAGAAGTCTCACAGACTGCGTGGGTGTACAGTGTGTGTGTGTGTGTGTGTGTGTGTGTGTGTGTAGTTTTCTCTCACAGCTGTTTGTTATCTGGGTGCCCCCCCCACCAGTATCAAGAGATTCTCCAGACGAGATATCACCGTGGAAACGCTGACTTCACACTCAAACACGCCCCTGCAAAGCTCACACTGTAGTAAATTACTCGGAGCTCAGCAGACACGGAGCACCTGTACATACATAACGACGCTTTGAGCTCAACCCTAAAAGTAAAACTTCTTGATCGCCTCCTGCTGGCTGGCTGCAGTACAGAGCCGTTTTCAGACATGATCATGGAAACGCAGCAGCAGATCGTCCGACTCGTTCACAACAACTGGAACATGTGAGGGACATTCAGGCGAGGGGTGGAGCCTGTAGAGCAGCAGGAGGCGGGACATGATGTATAAACAGTGCTGTGGAAAGATCAGTGTTTTTACAGCTCATCCACACCGGCGTCGGCCCTTATCACCAAAACATCTGGAATCTCCTCGTCTCTCCAAGTTGATGCTTCGTCTTCTGCGTGTACGACTCCTCCTCTTCATCCAGAGATATTTGGATATCTTCCAGTTTTGCATCCGTTAGATATAATCAACTTGTTTGCACATTCTCCTGCTGTGTTCTCTCGTGGGAACTCACTCAGACTTTTTCCAGATGTTTCACTTGAGTGCTGTCAGGGAAAACTCCGGAGAATGTCCGGATCAATTGACTCCGACATTTACGTACAGCCCTTTGAGGTCGCTTCAGGAAATTCTCCAGAGTTCACTCATGTCCTTAAGCAGCAGAAGTCATAAATTAAAAAATTTACGTGAACGGGACATCAATCAAAATAAATAACTCAAAGTTGTTAATTATATAAATGAATAGATTTCTGGTACAAGTGACTTCATCGACACAAAATGGCAGCGTACGTATCTGTGGTATTTTGGCTTCATTTCTGGATAGTGGCAAGAAGTGGAGATGTGTCATCCATCTTTACATTCTATGGTGTGTGGAAATAATAAAACCTAGAGGGGCTGCTCACCAAATGACAAACAAATACTCCACATTGTCACCTATACGTCTTGTAGCTGTTCACATCTTTAAACAAATCTTGTGCAGAGAAACTTTAATTCACCCTGTGGCTTCCAGACTGTTATATCTCACCTGACGGGTGAGGGCTTCACTGACTGTTGTACATTTAATATCAGATGACTGGTCAAACTGTTCTGCCTCCCTCCGTTTATTTAGCTTGTTGGACCTTCTCCTGCCCTGATGAATGAGAGCTTGATTTCATCCTGTGTGTGTGTGTGTGTGT